CTAGGGCCCTTTGACAGCCCAGGACAAGGCCTGCACCCTCTCATGTGTTGGCCCCTCACCTGCCTACCTTTCCCTCCACAGATCCGCCCCTTCCTACCACCTACCACCCCTAGGACCTCAGGCCCCTTTAAGCCTCTCCCCGCCTCCCTCTTCATCCCTCCAAGCTCAGTTTCCCCTTTTAAGGACATTGTGGAGACATCCCCAGCCTCTGGGGCCCACTCTAGCTGAAGGGGGAGGGGCAGAAAAGAAGGCCACATCTTCACTCTGAACTGAACTAAGATCCATGAAGTCTGTCCCAGCCTTGGCCACCTGGAGATCTCAAAACTTGTTCCGTTTTCCACTGCCACCCAGTCCAGCTGCTCTTGGCTTGAGGAACGAAGCCTCCTCCCTCAGGTCGGAGCACAGCTGATTTAAATGTGAGCAACGATCCTCCTGCCTGTGAGCCTTGCCCCACACAAGGCTCTCCACACCTCTCAATTCCTGGAGTCCCCCGAGCTGCAAGACACACCTAGGATGGGAACCCCGTTAGTCGTTAGACTTGGGGCGAGTTTCTCAGACTCAAAAAGGTCAAGCTAAACCGAGTCCCACATCACTCTGGGGTTCCCTCAGGCCTCCCTTCTACTCACCATTTCTTGGTGCACTCCAACACCAGTTCATGGTAACAAGCCACAAACTGAAACTTGGCGGCCCGCTTGCCCACCCGCTGCAGGCGCTTCCACACCGAAGTCATGGCCCTAGGAGCTCTTGCCGCCCACTTCTCAGGCTCGGAGATCCCGCTTGCTCGCCACTGCTGGCCCTGTCAGGGTCCCCATGGTCTCTGGGGCCCCTTTCTGCTATGCCCGTCCTGTCCACCCCGTCCGTATAGAGGTGTCTGAGGTTCGGATCTAGGCCGCGCTTGTTGGGACGGCCGCTGGGGTCCTCCGGGTGGGCTGGTTGAGTCTGCGGGGCGGTCCCGGCGCGTCGAGCTGGTCGGAGCTCGGAGCTGCAAGAGCGCGGTTTCCTGGAGCCGCACCCCCGTCCGAAGGCGGGCGGGGCTGCAGCGCGGGGCGGGGCGACCCCGCTTCCGGGACGCGACCGGGCACCGGCACCCGGCTTGGGGGTGGAGGGAACGAGCCCCGACCACAAAGTCGACTTGGTGGGCGCCCGGGGGCCGGATGGGGTATAGGGTTGAACATGTGCGCTCCGCGCTCCAAGAGATGACAACCTCAACTTGGTGCTGTCCTCCCAAGAGCTGCCACAGCCGCCTCCCTTCCTGCCTGCAACCTTTGTGGTTCTGTTCGGTACCCCACTTCTCAAGCTTGTAAAGCAGAGACCTAGGAAGAAGATGGGTCTTGCTCATAGTCCTCAGCGTCTACTGGGCCAGAGCCAGCGGTTCTTAGCTCTGGAGTGGGAGACCCTTGCTAACACCCACGTCTTAATGAGATAAGAAAAGTTCCGAGTAGGGAGCCAGCTTTGGCGGGATGCACCTAGTGTCACAAAACCGGACTTCTCAGCTGGCACGAGGAAAAATAGTCCTCACATCTCACAAGCAATGAAAGGTTCAAATATTGGTTTCTAATCAAGAGTGCCACCTTGGACAAAGCACTAACACTCTGTGCCTCGGTTTTGAAGTCTGTTAAATGGGGCCAATTATAGTTCTATCTTTAACGGTCATAGAAGGTTGAAACGTGGGAAAGCATGTAGCACAGGACCGGGCTGATTTTGCCAGGTCTTATTAAATGCAATCCGTTATCAGGGCTAGAGAAAATAGTCTGTGGGTGTTTTCTCTCCTCCCCTGGGAAGTCCCTGGGGCGTTAGCTGTGGTGTTAACGCCTAGATTAAGACTCCTTATCACTCAGCCATCCAACTCAATGGTAATGAGCCTCTGTAAGGTGGCTCATACCCAGTTAGAGAAGTGCCCTAGAGCAACGCATCTCTATGTTCTCTCCCGGCCCAGTGCCTGGTAAACCCTCACGGTGGAAAGGACTTCTTGTCTTCCAGGAGTGGCAGTTGGGTGGATCTCCAGCAAGTGACCGTGGTAGGGAGTGGGGAAGAGCTGCCCCGGTGTAATCTTGAGAGTGCGCAGGCATCTCCTGAGGGCTGGACACCCGGGTTTGTCTCTCCACTCCATTGGTGTGACCCTCTGCTTCCTTGAGGAAGCCCTCTGTGTACTACCCTACAGGTACTTAGTGCGGAGGTCCGGGGGAGGCTGGGCAGTCTGAGGCTGCAACAGAGGTGCCCGAGGCCTCAATTTTTGCCGCCCCGCTGCTGTCTCCCTTCCAGGACTTGTCTACAGACTGAAACCTCACTCCCTCCGGCCTCCACACCTCTCCCTCCTATCACGGCCCCCTCCAACCTATGGGGCACCAACTCTCTTGGAGCTTTCCCCCAATCACTCCGATGGGCCCCCGGGTCAGTCAGCTCTGGCCCACCCATTTCCTGTGCTGCAGCAACTCCGCCCAGCACTGGAGGTGGAAAGTTTCTCTCCTCAAGATGGGCGGCTCCTTCCTTCCCGGAAGGCTCAAAGCAAGGGAAAAGGGGAAGCTGGGTTCCAAAGCCTAGAGCCCAGGGGACGAGACTCTGTCAAATGTTGCAGAGCCAGGCTTCAGTAGCCTGGAAAGCTTCCAACCTTGCCGGGAGAGGGACGTTTCATACCCTGCGCCCTCTAAGACTTTCACTAGGGGGTCTTGGGCGCCACCTGCCGGCAGAACTCTGACCACACTTGCTAGAAACCACTTAATTCCCAACCCAGTACCCATCAACCAGGCAATCAGAATACAATGTTGAAAGTATTTATTTATTTTTCCATTCACGTACTGGCTCCTAAACGTAAATATCCAGCATAGAGACCTTAGCCTTTCTGGCTAGTGGATGGCTGCGGGGATGGGTCCTGGAGCCCTTGTCCCAGGCAGTGAAACCCTAGGGCCACAGATAGGGATGCCCCTGAGCCAGCAGCTGCACGTGGCAGCAAAAGATGAAAGAGATGGAAGCCAGGCAATCTTCCCAGTCCTAGCGATGCCAACGCGAGTGCAAGACACTTTGGACCCCACGGTCAGACTAAGGGCTGGCCAAGCTAGGGGTGCACACACGTGGGAGAAGTGGGGAGCCCAGTGCACTGGGCATTGGCTGCAATCTTGACCGCTTTGCCTGATGGGTATATGCCTTGCCCTCCTGAAGTGAAATGAAGTGAGGTGGTACCGGTAAAAGAGCAGGCACTGTCGACTAAGGACTTGCTGAAGGGCAAGTTCTGAGCCTTTTGTCTAGGTGCTTAGCTATCCACCTCAGCTTTTCAGAGGCTGATTTGGAAGGCATCCTGCAACCACTGGTCACGGGCATTGTGTGTTTGGGGCACAGTGAGGGGTGGAGGGTCTGGGGGCAGGCTTGCATCAGGAGGTTCATCATCATCGGACAGGCCGGCATCAGGTGGGTAGGAGCTGTCCGAGTGGAGGGAGGATGACAGGTCCTGGCACAAGCTCAGGTCTTGGCACAGATGCTTGTAGTCCTGGATCGACTCATACAGGCCCCACAGCTGGCACAGCAGCGACATATCCAGCTGCCGCAGCCCCACCTGCGGACAACTGACAGTGGGCTGGAGTTGGGGGTCCAGGCCTCCCCAAGCCCCCAAACCAAAGTCCCCACCATGAGCCACAACCCTGTCCAATCTTCCTGCACCTTCTTACGTGAAAGTTCTGGGGGCAACAGATGGCACTTGCCAACTGTGAAACCTTTAAGCCACTCACTGACCCTCATTTATACAATGGGGTAACACTGTCCAGCAGGATGCAATCAGGCAAGTTTTAAAAACGCAACAATCGCTACACATTGTTACCATCATAGCTATCCTAAGCCACTGTGACCCGACGCATCCTGCTGGGCATGAGAGCCAGGACACCGGTCCCAGACTTATCTCCGCCCTCTCCACAAAGCACGTTACCCCTGGCGGGGCGCCCACCTACTCACCATCTCCTTGCGCAGCGCGGCCAGTGCCGAGTCCAGGTTAACTGGGCGACGCGCGCCTGCTGAACCCGAGTTGGCAGCGCCCGCAGCGTGACGGGGACCGTCCGGGGCGCGGGCGGCACGGCTCAGCTCATCGTGGATGCGGCTCCGCTGGCTATAGACACGTTCCAGCTCCCTCCACGAGCCCCCACTAGCGTTAAGGAGGCCGCTGAGGCCCCGTGGTAGCGGCGGGAGCCCAGCCAGAGTGCAACCCCCGCCGCCCGGCGCCTCGGCTGAGGTTAGACCGTTCATGGCCGGGCCGGCACGGACCGCGATGCCACTCGGAGCCCTCCAATGTTTTACGCGGGTTGCGGCTCACAGGACCTGCTCCCGGTGGCCCAGCCTCCGGAGGGAGTCCAGCCGCCGCCCGCAGGCCGCGCTTTGTTCCTTCCCAGACTCCTCGGACTCCGCCTATGCTCCACCCCTCTGCATGGGCGGGGCTTCTCTTAACATGGAGATGGCTGTAGGGCCCAGCAATTCATCAGAGAACCGGGAGGGATGAGACCGAAAGGGTCAGGAAAGCCTTCCGCTGTTCTTTTTGCTGCCTCATTTCTACACAATTTCTTTCCCAAGGGAACGATTCTAAAAGTGTAGGGATGAAGGGGCCGGAGAATGGAGTAAGATTGTGCCTAGCTCTTAAAAAGTGCTTCGCTGGCGACCCCCCCTCCCCAACATTCCAGTGAGCATTAAGATGGACTCATAGAACCGAGATACCCAGAGGAGGCCAGGAAGCACCAAGGGGGCCGAAAAAGCACACGGCAGTCGGGTCTAGAAGGTGGAGGGAGGGGTATTGCATCAGGGACAGTACTAGTGGTCCAGCCTTTGTGGAGGCTGAGGTTACTTCCTTGGAAAAAGGGGTCACTTGTCCCTCTACCATTTACCCCTTGTCCTGAGTTAAAAAAAAACTCATTCAGGTAGAAAAGGCCACGAAAAGGTGAGTTGCCAAAAGAAAAAGCGTGACTAGAGTTGGGGCTTGCGTGCACACTCAGAACCAAGAAAGGAACAAACCACACAGGAACGGCTGCTTTTCTAGAGGGTTTTTCTCAGGGACACAAGGGGTTGGAGGAGAGGTTTCAGTGCTGCAGCTGCTTCAGGCTGGCTAGGGCCTCAGCACAAGCCCGGATAAGCCCACACAGCTGGATGCTGGTCTCCAAGGACGCACTGGAGCCCAGCTCAGCCGAGGCCCAGGTTAGCTTCTGCAGGAGGGCTGTCTGTGTGGAGGCCACCACATCTGCATTTGGAGATGCAGCAGAAAGGGGAGGCCCCTGGGCCGCCTTGAGCCCTGCGGCAGCTCCCTCGCAATGCTCTGGGCGGGGTACTGGGGGCAGGGGTGTGGGCCAAGAGCCCGTGGCAGGCTCTGTAGCAGAGGCGAGCTGGTGTTCCCGAACTTGAGAGAGGGCGGCCTGTGCGTTCAGAGCTAAAAGAAGGAAACAGGAGGACCAGTCAGGATGCCTGGCGCGCCTCTGCCCTAAGCCACTTGCTCTTACTGCCCCTCCTGCGTTTCTAGTGTTTTCTGCATAAGACAATCTGGTCCCTACTCTTTCTCCTTACACGTGCCAGGCAAGCAATGCACCACTGAATTCGAAACTCGGGTACCAGTTGCCTGACAGTTGCCCTGGCCTCCTTTATCCATCAAGTCTGTGTCTCAAGGCTGGGGTGTGTATTTCAGCGGGAAAGCGCTTGCCGGGCATGTGCAAAGCCCACAGCATCGGAAGCAAAGGGGTATTGTTTCCTCCTCTCCAGGACTTAAATGAGAAGGCACCTTAATGGCACCGCACGAAGACACTTCCAGTGTCCCCTCCCAGGCCTCCTGTTCCTGAATAACTATCACATGATCCACATTCCTTCCCCAAAGTGCACACTCGGCCCCTCACCCGGATTATCTTTATCCACGTCTGAGTCGAGCTCCTGACAAGCCACGCAGTAGATTTTCCGCTGCTTATCTTGGAGGAGGATCGTCTGGGAACCAGAAAGCACACGGACACTGGTGAGCCTGAGCGACAGGGTCCACAGAAGAGAGAGCTGAGGAAAGGACGTGCGGCCTGGCCCGAGGCCTCGTCCTTGTCGCTCGCCTCACCCCGCAGTCCGCGCACGTGTCGCCCAGCATGCGGTAACCGCGGAGCAGGTAGTCGCCCATGAGACGAGAGATGCGATCCTGCCGCTCCCGTCGCGCCTGGAGCACCTTCGTCTCAGCTTCAGTCGGAGGCTCCCAGGCGAAATCGTCCACTTCTGCGGGAAAGAGGAACAAGGAGAAGGAGTCAGGGCGGAGAAAACTGCTTCCCGCACCCAACGGCCACAGTCGGAGCAAGTCGAGCCCTCACCAGTGCCGTTCAAGGCCATGTTGCTGTGGTCACTGGTCGGCTCACCGGAAGTGACACAAACAAAATGAGCCCCCTCTGTGGTCCCGCCTCTCACGTGTGGACCGGTGAGAGCGGAAGTGACGAACACGCGAGGCTCCCGGGCTTCGCTTTACTCCAAGGGGGCGTTCCCGCTGCAATTTGACCCTGACCGGGAGGCACAACTCTCAGCCGGAGCTGCCGAGAAGTACCGCCGACTCCCTGGTCTCACTTCAGTATCTGGACGTAGCTTTTCATAGTCTCCTTTAATGCCTGGTGCGGATAGAGTGACCCTTTGGTCTGAGAAAAACCAGTTCCCTCGGGGTTGTCCTTTTACACAGTTGGACCAGGAGGCAGGCAGGACAGTGGCGTCTACACAAGAATCGCCGCACTAAAAGGTCCTTTGCAAGTGCGCAGAACCTCTTTAGGACTCTTGGACCCTGGTTGGCTACGCGGGGGACTGCCTATTTCAACACCCCTAGCCGTAGGTCTGTCGGGATCCGCTTGTCTGCCCATCTTCTACCAACGTCTAGAACTGATATAAAGCTGCTCTCTTAGGGTTACTATAGCTGGGAACACCGTGGCCAAACACAACGTGGGGAGGAAAGGATTTATTTCACTCAAATACTCAAATTCCGTTTAAGAGTTTATCATCACGGTGGTGGCGCACGCCTTTAATCCCAGCACTTGGGAGGCAGAGGCAGGCGGATCTCTGTGAGTTCGAGACCAGCCTGGTCTACAAGAGCTAGTTCCAGGACAGGCTCCAAAACCACAGAGAAACCCTGTCTCGAAAAACAAAAAAAAAAAAAAAAAAAAAAGAGAGAGAGTTTATCATCAAAAGCAGTGAGGGTGCCAGGCGGTGGTGGTGGTGCACGCCTTTAATCCCAGCACTCAGGAGCCAGAGGCAGGCGGATCTCTGAGTTTGAGGCCAGTCTGTTCCACAGAGTGAGTTCCACAACAGCCAAGACTAAGACTACACAGAAAAACCCTGTCTCAACTTCCCAGCCCCCCCAAAAAAGGCAGTGAGAGCAAGAAGCTGGAGGCAGGAACTGAGGCCATGGAGGAGGGTTGCTTACTGGCTTGCTCAACCTGCTTTCTTATAAAACCCAGGACCACTAGTCCAGAGGTGGTACCGCCCACAATGGGCTGGGCCCTCCTCCATCAGTCATTATTTAAGAAAATGTTTATAGGCTGGCCCACAGATCTAACGGAAGCATTTTCTCAGTCGAGGCTCCCTCCTCTCAAATGACTGTAGTTTGTGTCAAGGTGACGCAAATCTAGCCAGCATCCCTGCAGGAGTATTTTGTCTTAGTGAAAAGCGCCTGTGCCTAGAGCTGGAGACATAGCTCAGAGGTTAAAAGCACTGACTGCTCTTCCAGAGGACCCGGGTTCAATTATTTAATTCCAGTTCCAGGGCATCTGATTCCTGCATACAAACATACTTGCGGGCAAAACACCAATGTATATAAAATTTTTTAAAAAATCAGAAAAGTGTGGTGCCTGAGATATACGGTTCCGATTCCAGCCTCGGCTGTGGTTTGTGCTCGTTTCTGGCGAGCGGGGTTTGCAGATAAAGTGCCAGTACTCGTCACAATTCCAGCCTCTTTGCAAGAGCAACAGGTGGTTTCCAAGAAGAAGAAGAAGAAAAGGTTAGAGAAATGGCTCAGTGCTTAAGAGCAAGAATTGCTCTTGCAGAGGACACAGTTTCTGTTCCCAGAACCCAAATGATGTCTCACAACCACCCGTAACTGCAGTTCCAAGGGATCACACGCCCTCTTTTCATCTCTGAGGGCATCAAACACACACATGGTGCATGTATTTGCATGCATAAAACATAAAATAAAGCTAGGCATGGAGGCGCACGTCTTTAATCCCATTACTTAGGAGGCAGAGGCAGGTGGATTTCTGTGAGAAGCAAAGGTGGCAGGGATAGTAGCTGAGCTTCCCACATGTGAAATTCAGAATGTCAATAAAGAAAACCTTTCAGACAACTTATGGCTATGGGCAGCAATGTTTTAAGTCACCCAGGAACAGTGTATCACTGAAGTTGATGCCCATTTTCTGAAGAGGCTGTCTTGAATCAGACTTCTGATCTCAATTCACTGCTGGTTGCTCTTCTGGGATTGTTTCCCTTTCTGCCTGATCTAGCACTGTAGCAAACAGGGCAACATATCCACTATCATAGTGTGGACAAAGTACACTAAGCTCATGGCTCACAGGCTACCACCCCTCCAGACTTGTGGCATTTTCCAGAAGTTGACCTTGTGATGAGGGAGCCATAATATATGCTACGTTGCCTTTGCCCACTCCAAAGAGATTAAATGAATGGTTCCTTCAACTCATCGGGTTGACAATTTGCCATCTTGAGATGAATTTGTGTCATGGAACATGCCATTTACAGCTAACAGTGCTGGGGTTTTTATCCCAGAAGCCTCTGGAACTATTCTTTTTCTATCCAGCCACTATCTCCCAAATAACAACATGGAGACTTCTTATTAATTGTGAAAGCTCGGCCTTAGCTTAGGCTTGTCCCACTAGCTCTTGTAACTTAAATTAACCTGCTTCTATTTATCTACATTTTACCTGTGACTTTTTACCTTTCTTTCATTTTGTATGACCGACTCCCTCCGTGTCTTTTTGGTGTCTCATTGGCATCTGGTGTCTAGATTCCTCCTCCTGTTCCTCTCTCTCCCTGGAAATCCCACGTATCCTCCCTGCCTAGCTATTGGCTGTTCAGTTTTTATTACACCAGTCACAGCGATACATCTTCACAGTGTACAGATATCCCACAAGTCAGTCAACAGTAGCTGATAACTAGGTGTTCAGCCTGTCCTTGTGCTATGATACTGTGTTGCTGAGTGCTGAAATGACTTCCTCAAATCAACTCAAAGCGATTTACGATTTTTCTCCCAGTCCATGTACCTAGGTGATGCAGCCTCATCACTGTGTTCAGTCGTTCCAAGGAAGGGACAATCTCCTCACCCACATCCTTTGTAATGATTGTAAAAAGAGATCTATAGATTTAAAATATATATATATATATATATATATATATATATATATATATATATATTTAGCATGCATGCCTGCACACCAGAAGAGGGCACCAGATCTCATTACAGATGGCTGTGAGCCACCATGTGAGTTCAGATGGCTGGGAACTGAACTCAGGACCTCTGGAAGAGCAGGCAGTGCTCTTAACCTCTGAGCCATCTCTCCAACCCGAGACCTGTAGATTTATCTGGAACAATTTAGGAAATTCCAGGCTTCACGTTCGCCATTATCTGGTATCCTGCTTCTTTTGCCTCACAGTAACCCCTGGCCAGTCAATTTGGCCCAATTTCAGATTTCAGTGGGATTCAAAGAGTGCCCAAGAGATTGGAGCTAAATGATCCAGGTCACCAGAACTCTCTTGTTGGACCAACATAGGATCTAGACCAGGGCCATAGCTGCTGTCCTGAGTTTTGTTCACTTCTCTTTGAGTCCCACATGCAGAGTGGGGCATCTAATAAAAATGCCCTTATTTCTCTCCCACCTGACTTTCCTGGTTGAAATGTTGGGGATGGGGGTGCTTAGGTCAAAGGTGAAGTTCTAAGACTAGGAATGCATGAGCCAGGGAAGTTGGATGGCTATGAGTTTGAAGCTAGTCTAATTCACAGTGAGTTCCAGGTTAGCCAGGGCAACGTAGTAAGATGCTGTTTCGAGGGGAAAAGAAAGGAATTTGAGCATTTTGTGAGAGAGCAGGGAAAGCAACCATCTTGTTCCCAAGAGAGGGACGCCTCAAGAGTGTACGGCAGGAGGGACATTAATGACCTTTGTCGCCATAACCTTTTCCCCTTCATACTTCCTTACCAAGGAAAGCACTTTATTCTACAGCTCCTAAAATTGTCAGAAATTCATTAGATGTAACCACTTTGTGGTCTGTTGTTCCTCGCTAGGTAGTTGATTGGCTGCCATTCTAAGCAGCCGTCCAGGGAGGTGGGAAACAGCAGGAGCTTTCCACAGAAGATTCATAACTGTCAGCTCAGTAACAGACCACGGCTGTGATGATCCACAGACTCTCTAGGCCCTCTCTGTGGATCAGGACAGTCTTGCAATTGTTTTTATTTGTTTACTTTCACTTTCTGTATATGTGTGTCATTTTATGTATATGTGTGTTTCTCATGTGTGTATGTCTGTGCCCTATGTGAGTGCTTGGTGCCCATGGAGGCTAGAAGACAACATCAGATTCTCTGGCACTGGAGTTACAGATGGTTGAGAGCCACCATATGGGTGCTGGGAAGAGAATGAAGGTCCTCCGGCAAAGCAGCAAGTGCCTTTAACTGATGAGCCATCTCTTTGCTTTTTGTGACAGGTCTTATTACATAACCCTGGCTGGTCTAGAACTTGCTATGTAGACCAGGTTGGCCTTAAACTTAGATATCTCCTGCCTCTACTCCTAAGTGCTAAAATTATAATCAACTTTTTTTTTTTTCTCGAGACAGGGTTTTCCTGTAGCTTTGGAGCCTTTTCTGGAACTAGCTCTTATAGACCAGGCTGTCCTCAAACTCACAGAGATACGCCTGCCTCTGCCTCCTGATAGCTGGAATTAAAGGCCTGTGCCACCACCACCCGGCCTAAGTGCTGAAATTAAAGGCGTAGGTCACCACACCTGAACCCATTTTTCCTTGTTCCCTGCAACATGAATTCACCTGACATTTCTGCTAAACAGGACAGGACTGCATGGGCCTCAAATACAGAGCCATATTCAGGTTCTGGAGTGTGTGTGTTTGTTTGGCTGTACTTTGACTGAAACCATGTTGTTGGTTGTTGTTGATGTTTGTTTGTTTTTTCTCTTCGGCTCTTTTGCTCTTTACTCTTTGGTGGGGGGGCACCACCCAGCTCCCAAATACATCACAAGGAGTCTTTTTCCTTCTTATGAATGCCTGGCTTTAGCTCGGCTTGATTCTAGCCAGCTTTCCTAAACTTAATTTATCCCAACTACCTTTTGCCTCTGGACTTTTATCTTTCTCTATACCTTTTTTCTTTCCTACTCATACCTGACTGGGTAGCTGG